ACTGGAGCAGAGTGGGTGTTGGCTCCGGTCTGTAGAAGAGGCATGGAGCTATATTTGTGCATATGCCGATGGCCGAGGAGCCAAACCTCTACCTGCCATTAACATCCCTGTTACGCTCACATCCTGGTGAACACCCTCCTTATTCTGCTGGTCTTTCAGAGGACCCCAAGAGCACAAAGTAGCAGTCTTACCCTCACCCACCACTTAACGATCCGAGATGCACTAAGTCACCTGTTTTTGTTTTAGATCAGAAGTCGTCACCTGCAAAATAGCACAGAATATAGAAAAATCGTAACTTTTTATCAGAAACAAAGTCAAAGCGGCAGTGACCTGTCTGAATGCCAGGAGAAGGGATGTGAAAACCACTTTAAATGGGGCTCCTAAGTGAGGTGGTCTGATAGATGAGGGGCAGAGGTTGGCCCGCGAGGCATGTGATACAGCTGGGACTTCAGGAAGCACAGAGGGACTCCGAAGTGAGGGAGTATCAATCGCACTGGGGCCATATGCAGTGAAAGCCCGTGGTCTGCTCACACAGCGGCCCCTAACACGGCTAAGCAGCCGGAAAAACGGGCAAAGAGATGGAAATGACCAACTGTCTGCCTGGGCAGCCATGTCCAACGAGGCAGAGCCAATACATCCCCAGGTGCTTTAACTCAGTGCAGTATTCCATGGAGGAATTACCCCAGTACCCCAGCTACTCTTGGGTAGTGTCTTACACTTCCTCAGACCCCAGTGACTCTGAAGGATGTATCTCTTTATTATATATGTGCCTTTAATCACAGGCTTGACTCATAATTCATAAACAGCACCCTGCACTTTCTGCATCAGCTACACATAAGAAAGAGAAGAGTTGTCTGTCTTACTGTATACACCCACTATTCCTTCACTGTAAGCTGATTAGATGTACATGTCTAAACTGACATGATGTACAACCACAATCACTGCAAAGCCTAAAGTTAGGCCTACACTATGCACGGTATATTTATTTGCTTAATTATTGTGTTAACTTGTCATGTTATGTGTAAAGCCTTTTTTCTAAGACACACACTATAGGCTTCGTGTCACTCCATTCCTGCATATCTTGCAATAAAGTTTGACTGACTTGACTTGATGACCTTTGGGGGTATTAGAGAACGCGTTATACCCGCAAACCCGCTTTTTATATCGATCAACACATGATTATTCCATTGCATCCCTGACCCCAGAAATATACGTCCAATTATACACAAATCGTTAAAAATTAGGTAAAACCGCACGAACGAGTACGAAAAGTGCCTCGTCGATGCGCGTTTTCTCGTGCAGATCCGCTGCTGCGGAAGTGGCAAAGCCGACAGCGGTGCTCGTTTTCGGGCATGCAAACTGCGAACGTAGGGCGTCTGCCGAAAGGTGACGCGCTCCGACCGCTTTAGTACAAAAAAGCTAAAGAAAGGCGATTGTAAGAGTCAATGACAGCAGTCGGTGATCCCGTATTAACGCGCATTAAACCCCGGCGATATGCTTTTCTGCAAAAGTAAAGGAATCATCCAGCTTTAGGGGAGTCCGGAGCCGACAGACTGGACCGGACCGGACCGGAGCAGAGCGCGGTGTGGGTGTTATTATCGCTTATGATCGCCGGCAGGTAACGTTGACCAATAGACAGCGCCGCAGAGAGGCGCACAGGCACAGTCATACACTGACAGGCACTGACACACTCCCAAAGAGGCGGACCCCGAGCGCACCTCCTTCACCGAGACGCCGAGCTCATCTGCCGGGTTTCAGCTGCCTTTCGACGGGGATCCGAAGGCGGGGGAGGTGGCATCCTCCGCTTGGATGGGAATCATAGATCTGCTCGTCATTCATCCTAGAATTGGCTTTTTAATTATTGTTATAAAAAGCTATACATGCATATGAATTTAGTGCTGTAATTAAGGGCTGCAGCATGGAAAACGCGCACACTAAGACGGCATGTGAAGTTCTGAGCAACTTCGGGGTGAACGAGAACACGGGGCTGACGGCGGAGCAGGTCCGGGCCAGCTTGGAGAGATACGGGCCAAATGGTGAGTCCATAAAATATCACATTTAGATGTTTTTATAATACCGGAGCAGGTCCGGCCGGTCTTGGAGAAACACGGGGCCAACGGTAGGTATATAATGTCTAAATATGATAATTCCGGAGCAGGTCCAAGGCAGTCTGGAGGAGTACATCGGTGAGTCTTTAATATTATATGATTATAATACCAGAGCAAATCCGGGGCAGTCTGGGGAGGTACGTCGGTGAGTCTTTAATATCGTTTATGATCATGTTTAAATGTGACTACCGCATCGTGCCCAAAGCGCCGTGGGCGTCGGAAGTTGTGAAAACCTCTGTGCATGTACAAGTTATAAGGTTTAAATTGAATCTTTTCCCTTATGCGCACCTTGCAAAACATTAAAAATTACGCACGATGCTTTTCAGATACTCGGTCATGTTTGCCACATTTTTGCTCCTTTGAATGGCATTTTGGCGCACGTTTTGTAAATTTTATATTTTTCTGCGACATTTAGTGACTCGGGCGGCAGTTTGCTTTCCTATCTTCGGCGAAGCAACGCAACTATCGAAGCATTACTTTTATTTTGCATTTTATTTGTCATTGCGTTTGAAGTATAATTGTACGTACAGCTTCATTTTTCAGAAAGGTGGCAGGCTGTCATTGGGGGATGAGAGAATAACGAGGCGGCTCCGTATTTCTTTGCAGGAACAAACTGCTTTAATTTACTTTAACCTCCTCTGAATGAAATACGCGCCGCTCTTTCAGTATTTTTGCTGTTACATTAACATCGCTTTCATGTCTCGGCGCAGACATATCGATACAAAATAATTGCAAACTGCTCCGGGTGTATAATTCAGTTATAGTGTGCCGGCTGTTTCTTTCCTTTTTTTTTTTGAGGTTGCGGCTGGAAATCACCCGAAGCTACGCGGAGCGAAGGCGCACATTCTGCCGTGTCCCCGCTGCCGCTTCGGACGCGCCGGCAGGGGCCCTTTCCGGTCGCGCTCGGTGCCTAAAGCCGAAGCTTTGAGAATGAAATGATGCGTCTTAATGTTACCAGTTATTTTAACGATGTTTCACAATTTTAACCACAGTAACAGCACTTTTAAAACACTAAATAGGCCTACACGTCCAGGGATTAAACACGGAAATGTTTTAAAACTGGGGAAGAATATTAAGAGAAGGGTGAGGGTATTTGGGAATTTGAATAAAGATGAGCTCAGTTTTGTTGTCAACGCTACTTTATTACAGTGATATTTCGATGCGGCTGTTTTTGCATTGTTTTCATATCTTGATATTTGCGCTTCAGTTCTCATCTTTAATTCTGTCTGGTTTTTTAACAGAGGTTGTTCATAAACTTAAATTTGATGTAACAAAAGTGGGGTGTCTTAGTGTAAATTCACTTCTATGTCGTGGGTGTTCGGAGGATGGAAGAGGAGCTCAGTGGTCGGTGTTTCGCGTGGAGCTGGGGGGTTGTGCTGCCCCGGTAGCTCCATTCTGGCACCTCTGCCCCCTCCCAGGGCTCTCCTGGTGGTCTTGGTTTAGCATGGTCAGCCCTGGCCTGATTCACACCTCTTGCTTGTGTATAATAACCCCCTGGCACAGCCATTCCCTCCCGGGTGCTCCGACGCCACAGTTCAGCAGCAGCAGTCTTCCTGGGACTGGATCTGTGGGGGCCAGGGCCCAGTATGAGAGGGGTTCGCATGTCGGACGCTGAAACACCTCAAACATTTCAAGAAAACCTGACGTGTATCCCTACCATGACAGGCGCTGTGAATCTCTTCCTCTGTCTGCTTTCCCGTTCAGTTCATTGTCAGGCTTTGGGTCGGAATGAAATGCCGCGTTCTTGTGCTAAAATGATATCTCTCTGTAATGAACGCATGGTCCCCCATGACCGCAGTGACTTCATGGAAAACAAAAGCGAGATTCTTAGTGCAGATAGCCGCCTCTGTTTCAGCTGCACTTCCTGCCTGTCTGACAGTAAGTGAGATACCAGGGAGAAGCCCTTCCTCTTCACTTCTGTCGAACAGCGTCTCACTCGCATAAGCTACCATGCTAATACGGGATGCTTTTTGGGCCTCTGGGGTGCAATGGGTGACGCTGAGTATTTTTTTTTAATTGCATTCCCCACACAACCTCTGGCTAGCCTATATTTAGGTTGGCCCTTTTTCCTGTGTCTTATGGTTTCTCTGGGTTTTCTTGGGGCAGGGGCTCTATCTCAGGCTTAACTCCATGCACTTTTGCATTATTCTTAATTTAGTTTTGCATTATTCTTTTGTCGTTTTTGAGTGTACGCCCCCCCCCCCCTTCATCAGTGATACTCGTTAGAAAGAGATTACAGATAAAGTTCAGGGAAAAAAAGAACCTTTAAATTTGAGTGCCTGTGAAATATGCTTTGAAAACTTTAAACTGAGATTACACTGAAGCGGTGCATTATGAAGAGGGGGTGCCATGAATGGGGGGCGTTTTTTAGCAGCCCACCAAGCATGTGTGCAGAGCCCTTAGCATATAGTCTGCAGGTGTGTTTGAAAATGGCTTTTCGATCAGCTGCTTTTTGGGGTCTCTTTTAATGTCTTCGTTCCCTAGTGTTTTGGCGTTACTTTTCTCTAAAGGAGTCCCTAAATCCCTGCCCCCCCCCCTTCCAGTACCCAGGGTGGGTGATGTGTGACGGCATAGGGAAACCTTAAAATGTGGAATCGATTCACATTGTGGAGTTTTGAAAAGTAATTACTGCAGCGTAATCATGGCTGAAAATGAGCAAAATCCAAGCTGACCCATTTTAAATATTTATGTTGGTTTCCTTGGCAATTAAATGATTTCTGCGTGTACCATCCTGCAAATCTAAACAGTTTCTGATCTATTTTGGCAGGGGGTTGAGTTTCGGTTTGAAAACGTTTATATCTTCTCTGTACATCATGACCTTTTTGATGAGTCTGGGCAGAGTGTGAATGTTCACCATAATGTGTTTTGAAGTTGTTTAATGACACATTATGAGCAAGAAAAGGACCCTCCCTACCCCCATATCAAGGGCAAGATGTCTGCTCTGGAATGGCACCTCAGAATATCCTGGCTGTGTGTTTGCCCATGGGTTTGGGGCCAGCCCACTGCCTCATTGTCACCCTGGTGCTCCTGGCCGGGAGAGGAAAGCTGGACCAGCAGGGTGTGGGATCACGCACCCTGTGGGTCATCACCAGCAGATTGCTGAATACCAGGCCCTGTTTCTATCCCTGTTCATTACAAGTGTGTGATGATCAGTACCTGTTGTAGCTGATCTTCAGGGACCTGCTTGAGTTTTCCTTGGCCAGATCGATCAGTTTAGAGGCCTTTTTTTTTTTTTTTTTTACAAAAACGGTCCCGACATTCTTCGGGAAGATAAACTGCTTGCCCAGCTGCCGACAGAGACATAACATCCCTGTTTTGGACTGTAAGCCAGCGTTTGGGCTCTGCCTACATGGGGGGAGGGAGCATTAGCCAAGTCTGCACCTGCCAGGGGCCCCCTGCTGTCCACCGTGCTGGAAAACGGCACGTATCATAGAAGTGGGCAGTGCCCAGTGTGCTCCGGTCACTTCACCAGCCAGTGAGCTAGCGGTTTGAGAAGGAGCCATCCACATGACCCCAGCCATGAATATAGCACCATAAATCCAGATTAAGCAACATTTACAATTCATGAGCGTAATGGAGAAGTTTGCGAGATCTTAAGGAGGGGGGGTGAGTCGCGACGGGCACCAGCGAGAGCTGCGTGGCCCCAAAGGCAGCAGACAGTGGCGAAACCCACAGTATTAATGCCTGTCTTTGTGAAGTGGCTGGAGTTACGGCACCTTATCTGATCATTTACATTCAGCAATCATCATCACATTAAGCCTTTCCAAGTGCAGTTGGCTTACGGGCTTCCTTCTGCATGCTCGGCTGCGGCCAGGCCCTCTGTGTTCAGGTTGAGCACCGAAGAAGTATGTCAGCTCTTGTTCCAGAAATTTCCAATTTGGAGATATAGTACGGGTAGTTTTAATAGAGTGCTAGTTGTGGGGTCTCCTCTGGTGGCAGCAGAGAGCAGAGCGAGAATTTGGCAAGGTGAGCGAGATGGTGACGTTTAGTTTCTGGCATTTTGTTTAGATCCAGGCCACTGTTCCCGTGCCGGTTACCTGCACAGCCGACAGTCCCCTGGCTGGCATGCAGTTGAATTACACGCTCTTCACCTTTATTGCTGCCATGACGTCGTTCTTGAACTTTTGGTCAAGTCCAAGCAGGTCGGTTTTACACGGAAGAGCTGTGGAATTTGCAGCTTCAGAGCACCTCCTCAGAGCTGGGTGGGGTGGGGTGTCCTGACACTGTAGTTACCCCCCCCCACCCCCCAGTCCTGTCGATGCGGAATCGGGTCGCTCTCAACCTCTCATGGAGCGGAAACACGCTCAGCCCAGCATGGAGAGCACCGCTGCAGTGTCTGGCGTGTGCCCCCCCCCCCAACTCCCCAGTTAAAAAGGCCTCCTTTGTGTGCCCTGTTTGCATAAGGCAAAGCAGCAGTGGCTGCATGTTGGGCTGATGAGGTGCGAAGCGGCTGATTGGGCGGGGAGGTTCAGGGCCCCTCCCCCGGCCTCCTGCACGCCCACTGCGCCCTCTTGGTGAGCACAAAGGGCCATTTTGAGGTCTCCCCTTTCCTCTTGGAACCTGGGCTGAAATTTCCAGCATGCTGCACCACTGATGGCAGAATGGACCACGTTCTGGGTCTGATCTCAGAACAGCCACTCCCCTTTACAGAAATCCGGAGCGAACAAGTCTATTCGCCGGTACCAGCTGCCGTCTCGTCTCTTGCCGTGTCATGAGGTCCACTGGGAGCTCATATCTGTTTTTTTCAGTTTGTGTCAGATAGAAAAAACACACAAATATTCACACAATGGTGGTGTGGCGTTCGATGTCCCTGCACGGGGTATACTCGTGCAGGTCTCTCTGAGTTTACATGCGTGCCACTTCTTCTCTCCCAACAAGCGTGTGAATGGTGACCCTGCACTGTGTCTCCCTTGCAGCTCATGGACTCGAAATGGGCATGTCTTTCAGAGATATCATTTATTTGTTTTTTCTATGGGCTGATTTGAGCTTGCAGAGAGTAGCTGCCCAAAGCATAGCCAGCATGAGCGTAGATGGCATGAGTATAGCAGCCCAGAGCATAGCCAGCATGAGCGTAGATGGCATGAGCGTAGTCGGCAAGAGCAGAGATGGCGTGAGCGTAGCCTGCGAGAGCAGAAATGGCGTGAGCGTAGCCGGCGAGAGCAGAGATGGCGTGAGCGTAGCCGACGAGAGCAGAGATGGCGTGAGCGTAGTCGGCCAGAGCGTAGATGGCGTGAGCGTAGCTGGTCAGAGCGTAGATGGTGGAGGGTGTAATCACAGCTGCCTAGTTCATAGCTCTCTTTCGCTTGTGAAACATAAAACTATGTGTGATATTGTGTTATGTGGTGAATTCTGATTGGCTAGTGTCTGGTGGGCGGGGTGCACACGCAGGCCGTGTCCATGGCCCTGGCACCGCCCAGGAAGTTGGGGATCTCCTGCTGGGTGTTTTCCAGTGACAGAACCTGGCATCCCGGGAGAATCAGCTGTATCGCCTCCTGTCTATAGTGTAAAGTAACTGCGCCAGTGTCCTCCTCCTGGTGTCCGGTGGTCAGCGACGCACTTGCCCGCACTCTCTGACTGGGGAAATACTCTGCGGAGGCTGAGGTCACCGCGTCATGTTTATTTTTATCTTGCTCTGCTGTGTGCCTGCTTCCCCTGTGTCTGGTGTGTGCGTGACGCCCTCTCTCTCTTTTCGGGGGGAATTGGGAACTCGCACGTCTGCTTTCAGTGCTCTTCCAATGAGGTAACCATAGAAACCACGTTGAACCCTGGCAGTGTTTTTTTGGCCCGGTTCGTGTGTTAACGATGCGTGTGATGGCGGAGCACAGCGGCCCTGACACGGACACTCTCACGGGCATATTCCTCAGGGCCTCGGCCTGGCTACACGCTCCCTCCCTTTTCCCCTCTGGCTCGCCAAGGCCGAACATAACCCTCATGTTGTCGGCAACCGTATCCAGGAAGTGGTCCTTCTCCGTCTGGTGCGTAAACAAGCTGGCGCTTGTCTTGCTTTGGCCGCGCGGCGAAGGCACGCTGATGTCAGCACTGTGGAATGCGGGAGCGGCCAACGCCATCCAGATGACTGCGGGGGAATCCTCGGCTCGGGCCGGCCCGGGGAACCCCATTTGGGGGCCCCCGCCACCCTCCCCTCCCCTTCCCTCCCCTCCCCTTCCGTTGAGAGGGAGCTGTAGCCAGCATGTCTGAAATAAAGGAACATGCCCAAACCGCAGAATTAATGGGTAGGGGGGGCTTGTGTCTCGCTTGTGAGCCATGGAAAACGTGTTTGAGCTTTTCCCCACTGGAAGGCTACCAGTCTCCTGGAGCCTTTAAGGATTTACGTTAAGTCACCGAGCATCTGTTTTGCCGTGCGCTGTAGTTCTTTGCCTAAATGCAAATGAACGAACCAGTGGGCGGGACTCTGGACCTCCAGGTGACTTAATGAAAATCCAAATCCAATCAGTAAGTAAACGCTCCTTCTGGAACTTTCCACACAGAATGCTTCTGTTGGTTTATGCTATCCATAATTTAACAGTTTCCATGAATAAATACTTTGCACGTTTAAAATTTACCGGCATTTTTTTTAAGTGCTGACAGTCATTACAAGATCCTTTGTTTTGTCGTTTGGAAGTAGCATGACTGATAATTTAGAATTATGAGCTAATTGTCCTGCTCCTGCTGTGAATCCTGGCATCGGTTGCCGTTTCCAAACGGTATCTCCAGCTGGCGTGTCGGAGCCGGGCACATGTTTCGTAATTGTCCTGCCGCACACGTCACGCCCCGACCACCTTCCCCAGTGAGACGCCGGTCACATTGGGGGATGGCGCCGGGAAAAAAATCCCCGAAGCGGGTGAATTTTCTCTGGCTGGAGACCGACTGCTTCCAGCGTGGGGGGCAAGAGCTGCGGCTCTCTCAGGGTTTCTGGATGTTTCCAGAGGGCACTTGCCCGCTCGAGGTGGAAAAACAAACGCGTGTGTTTTAGAGCCTGCCGTTCTTTTTTTTAACACCATTTTGCTTTTTCCAGTCTCCCTTGGATGGCTGCTTCTGAAGTGAACCTCTTTCCTGGCTAAATTGTTCTCGGTTTAAAGACTAACTTTGAACTGTTATAATTTTTGTCGGTTTTTAACAGAATGATTGCAGACGCTGGGCTGCACAGACCCGGGGTCTGAATGGGCACCAAGCTCCTGCTCAGGATGCTATTAACAGGAAGTGTGTGGGGGTGTCGGCCTCCTTGTGGGCTCAGGCTTGCCGCCTTCTGGAGTGGCGTGACTTTATTTAGACCAGCATCCAGCACCACCACCCCCCCCCCCCCATATTATTGTCTCCAAAGCGTGTTTTGGACAGACATGGTCACTCAACAGCCTGTTGTCCTTGCCAGCGACCTCTGGGGGGCGTGTGCGTCGTGCCATGCCTGCTCCCCGCCTCTGTCCCTGCGCAGCTTTCTTCCTGCCCACACGCCGTTCATTCCCACTCAGTCTCCCAGGGTTGTGATTGTGCTGCTGAGGTGGGACGTGGGAGCCGGTTCCTCCATCTTACCCCATGTGTGTATCTAACCCCAACCTCTATGTGCGTAACCCAGTGTATCTAACCCCAACCTCTATGCGCATAACCCAGTGTATCTAACCCCAACCTCTATGTGCGTAACCCAGTGTATCTAACCCCAACCTCCATGTACGTAACCCAGTGTATCTAACCCCAACCTCCATGTGCGTAACCCAGTGTATCTAACCCCAACCTCCATGTGCGTAACCCAGTGTATCTAACCCCAACCTCTATGCGCATAACCCAGTGTATCTAACTCCAACCTCTTCCATCAAACCCTGTGCATCAAACCACCTGTAAATACATCTAAACCTAAATATCTAACCACAACCTGTTTCTGTCTAATCCTTACCCCTGTGTTTATAGTTAATTGCACAGAGTATGAATTAGGTGTCTGCGTATAATAAATATATTTATTGATAATGCTCATATTCAATATTAATAATAATACCCATGTAATAATTGATTTTGTTAGAATTTGAATCGTCTGTCTAGCTGTGTTCTCTGCTTGGTTAATACATCCACTCATACAGTCGTTCTATTGGACGATTGTGGCCTTCAGTCTGGAGCCGATGTCATCAGACGGTGCCCAACCTTCTCCAGGTGTTTTGACCCTGTATATATTTACTGGTTATTGTCTAGTGTGTTGTTGATAATTTCTGTATACATGTCCTGGTGATGCTCTTATTTAGCATTATGAATAATAGTAATAATAATAACAATATTTGTATATATGCTGATATTCTTTCTTGTCCCATCCTCACATGCGCCCTCTCCACATCACCATGATGACCAGAGCTCCCAGCTGAGGAAGGTAAGCCTGGATCTTTGACATTCGGTTCCCCTCTTCTCCCACCTTACTCGCTAACAGCAAGCTAAGACGCGGCCTCTAACCCTAACAGGCTGTGCCAACCAGAGTCCGTCACTCTTAGCTGTTAGCAGCTCAGCTAAGCTTGAATTATTGAATTATTACTATCACAATATGACCATACACCCGGCAAGGTACGGCTTTCATAAACATCTATAGTGCTATGCAAAAGTTTATGATTTTATACGAGTTTATGAATTATAAAATTACTTAAATTAGATTAATGTTGGTGTAAAGCAATGATTTTCAAAGTATGCTAGCCATTTCAAATCCTCTCCTTTGTGAGGGCATCATCCACCATACCTGTGTGTTTGCTTAACTGAAACAACAGCACGCTTCGTTTAGCTAATAAATACCTCATAAAGTTAATTGGCTAATTATTCAATTAGTGAAATTAACAAATACAGGCCATGGCTGGGGTGCTCCTGAGGAGAGGTTCTGTAAGGCGTCTGAGAGATATCATCACTTTTTTGCAGAACAGAAGAAATTTTAGTGACCTTAAATTATATTTCTGTTTATTGGCACATATTGTAGTGTTAACTGATGTATTTTTCTGGCCAAATGCTGACTTACTGCCCAGATTCCCCTAATAATCCTTGCACATGAATACCTGCACATGAATACCTGCACATGTACCTGTTGCCTGCATTAATTTCCACGGGCAGGTTAATCGTGAGGGTCATGCAGGCTGTGCATTCAGCCAATTCTCTGATTGGCCGTTGCAGTAGTTCACCCTGCCCCCCCCCCCTTCCAGGCAAGTCCCTGTGGGAGCTGGTGGTGGAGCAGTTTGATGACCTCCTGGTGCGGATCCTGCTGCTGGCGGCCTGCGTCTCCTTCGTAAGTGCCAGCCCCCCTGCCCCCCTCCCGTCCCTGTGAATGCTGGGTAAGCCCGCTTTTTCTGAGGCCCATTGACATGGACTAAGCTGGATCACTGGGTGTGATAGGCTGGGGGAATGTCCAGAGATGGCCAATCAGAGTGCGGGAGGACCTGTCCTGTTACACCCTGGCCTATGACGAGTTACTTGATACTGCACAGGTCATTGAGCCGCTGATCCGGACACAGACTGGGGGAGGCGCTCTCCTCAACCGCTCTCCTCAGCGGAATGGAAAGGGCTGCTGTATGTGTCTGACCCAAATATGGTCACCCTGAAACACTCTGTGTCTGTGACACCCACCGTACCATGCAGCAGTCTCCTGTCATCGCAGAGAGTAATGCTTGAGTAATGCTTGTGTAATATTTCAGTAACGTTTATCCATCTTCTTCCGCTGATCCTACTCAGGGTCGCTGGGCTCAGATTGGTCACTAAAACAATTGAGCGTGCTTCTGCGGTTATGTGCCACTGCAGCATTCAAGTACAGGAAGGGAGTGCAGCCAGTGCAGCCAGTGCAGCCAGTGCAGAGGTCACGCAGCCGTCCCTGTTTTGATAGAGAGCCCATTAGCTGCTGTTTTTTTTTTAACTCTGACATGCAAGAGTGGTCCTCTGCAGGGACTCTTTGTTTAAGATATACGTGGGACGATTTTCTTTTTTAACACTCCATTATGCAAGGCTTTTGTGAAACAGAGCGTTAAACGCAGGATTCTCTGGATTTTAATGGAGAGCCCAGGGCTGCTCCTTCACTTAAACATCCACCGTGGCTCCGTCTTTGTCAGCCTGGGCTGTGCTCATACCGCCGTGGCTCCGTCTTTGTCAGCCTGGGCTGTGCTCATACCGCCGTGGCTCCGTCTTTGTCAGCCTGGGCTGTGCTCATACCGCCGTGGCCCATCTGACACGCGCCTTGCCAGTGGCTGCATTCTGAATAAACACCTCCCCCCGCCGCTGATATCTCAGGGCCGTTGGTGTTCAGGAGGCTGTAAGTCAAACATCCCCCCCATTCTACACCCCCCCCCCCCCCCCGGCTTCCCCTGCTCTCGCTTTTTTCAAACAAAATTTTCCATCCTGGTGAGGTGTGGAGCAGCGAGCAGCTGGACACCGTGTCCGCCTGGCCGGGGCCACCCCCCCCCAAACATGGGAGGTGCCTGACCACCGCCCCCTAGTGGGGCCACAAACCACATGATTGCTCTGCCAAAAGTGTTTCGGCTCTGAAGGGTAAAAAAAGGAGGAAAGTAAAACATTCTAGAGGAATCAGATGCAGTGAACTCGTATCTTAATTATCCAGCAGAAAATACCAGAATATTTATACCTCATTAAAGAATGATATACACCTAAGCACAAGGGTCAGAGTTACTTGAGGAATGGTGGACAGAAGTGTAGAATTGAGCACACTGCTCCTGGTGGGGGGGGTTAGATCCATGTGACTGTTGTCATGGAGACAGGCGTGCAATATCAATGTGCCAGCTTCACAAACACGTGGCGGCACCACAGATATGCCCACCTGACAGAACAGTGAATGTGGGGGGTGGGTGGGCACGGTTCTTCTGCATTCCAGACAGACGGGAATCGATGCTGTAGGTTTCACTGTCGCTCTTGGCGTTGGATCCGCTCTCGGTGTTACCCGCCGACCCGGAGAGCCGGGAAGGAGGTTCTGGAGGCTTCTGCTTTGTGTGTCCCAGTTCTAAAGGAGTGAATGTCCAGCCCAGCCCAGCTTCCCCAGGCTCTATGAGGGTGACCTTCTGTCTCACAACAGGCCCCTGAAGGCTATTTGCTTGAGAAGAGGGGCCCCTGGCATGGCAAGGGCCCGACACAGCTCATTTCAGCGTAGGGGCGCTGTTACCCACCGGCCCCGCCAGGCATCGTCACTGAGGCTTGTGCGAGTTAAACCCCGGGTGACCTTTGCTGAGCTGCTCCATCTGTGCATCCTCGGATTTGGCAGGTCCTGGCCCTGTTCGAGGAGGGGGAGGAGACCACTACCGCCTTCGTGGAACCCATCGTCATCCTGCTGATCCTCATCGCCAATGCAGTCATCGGCGTCTGGCAGGTGAGCGCCCCCTTGTGGATAACGCACTGCATGGTGGTGTGAGGCAGGCAGAGGGTTGGGGTCAGGGATTAGGGTGAGGTAAAGCAGCACTACATTGTGACCCCCGGCCCCTGCCCAGTGCCATGCCCTCTAACACAGCGCTCTCCAACCCCCCAGGAGCGGAACGCGGAGAATGCCATCGAGGCCCTGAAGGAGTATGAGCCAGAGATGGGGAAAGTGTACCGCATGAACCGCAAGGCTGTGCAGAGGATCAAAGCGCGGGACATTGTCCCTGGGGACATTGTGGAGGTGGCTGGTAAGTCCCCTGCATCGCCACGGTAACTGCAGTGACGTCTTTAATGTGAGTGGTATAGACCACTGGCCCTGGTGTCCACTTACCCGTCTAGCGCTTTACATTGTCAGACCTGAAATCCTGCCCGTTTCTGTATTGTTTGATTTGACTACCCGCCCCCCCCCCCCCCCCCCCCCCCCCCCGCCCCCCCCCCCCCCCCCCCCCCCCCCCAGCCACTCGGAGGGCTATCCCAGCCCGGCCTGCTTACATAAGCCCCCGGCTCTTACGAAATCGGCACGGATCTCACCGGTTATTTTCGTTCCCACCTCCGCTAGACGTTTGGCCACCTTTCAGACTGCCCCCCACCCCACCCCTCACCAGGCCACATGTGGGTAGTGCTGCTAAGAGTTTAGTTGGCTTCAGGAGCACCTGGGGGGGGGGGGGGTATTTCAGGTCCTGCTGCCGGCAGGGGTCTCCTTATCAGAATTATGTTCCTGTGGTGCTTCGCCTTGGCATTGGGGAGGGCCCGGTTAGAGATAGGTGACTTGCTTCTAGTTATTTTGAGGGGGAGGTGAGTTTAACAGGGCGATTTCTAATATGGCTGAGACGCCCCCCCCCACACACACACACAAGACCATGGCTGTGTCTTTGAACAGGGAGAGCCTGCTCTCTGTCCCGGGGTAGCCTGTCGGTGAATGAATGAATTAATGAAGGAATGTTTGATTAATTCATTGATTCATTCTTAAGAAATAGCTTGAATTAGTTACTTACTGTTGACGCGGGGTTTTGGCGTCACGCCAGGAAAGAGAAAACGGGAAAGGCAGGCCATCTCCAGCGTACATGCCTGTAGATAATCTGAATACGCCACACGCGTGTTTCCATCACCCTCAGCCTGCTTATTGTCACGACTGCCAGAGCTGCTCCTTCCGTGGAACTTTCCGTGGTTTTCAAGATGGAAAAGCTCTCCGCATGTGATGGTGGGAATGTGCCGGTTTTTCTGGGGTATGGAAAGCAGGAGGCTGTTTGGAAAGCCCGGCGCTGTGTCCCTCTTATGTGGGTCGGCCACTGGGGGGGGCTTTATTTATAATGTCACTGTGCTCCTTAGTACCTTTTGAGGCTCATTGGAAGCTCACGGCCAGGCATTCACAACGTCAGGCTTCAGTCAGACGCTTTGACTTTTCACACTCAGAAAGCACTTCAGTAACAGTGATCGGCACGGCTGATAAGCAGACTGCCAACTTGCTGGGAGATGTGCAGGAGCTGGGATTCAGGTGGTAGGAGGATGTCAGGAACAGGAATCACTGTTGGGGGGAGACATGACTCAAGATCAGAAAGGATGAGATCACTGATGGAATTGTCGTGGGTTTCAAGTGATTTTGTGAAATTGCATTATGGGTAATAAAATACTTTGCATATATATATATATTTTTTAACGCCTTGCTTACACATCTGCTGCTAATACTTGAGGTTCAGTGTGTTGGCAAACAGACCTGTGTTTCTCACAGCTTGTAAAACCAGCTCTAAGACTCACTTTATCAGCTGTCTTTCCCACCCATCATGTGAAGCGTCAGATACCAACCTGTTCATAATCACAGTAACATGTTGATAATCATTGTGACCTGTACAGAGCTGGTCTCTGCTGTGAAAGGTCACCTTAGGTCTTTGGTTGGGCACATTTCTACCAGCTCCATGTGTTTGTCAAGTTGCACAGCCTGACCGTGCTGAGTTGCACTCCTGAGGGGCTGTAGAATAAAGACGCTGCAGTTTTACCTCAGGTGACCAGCTGTGTAGCGTAGGGGGTGTCAGAAAATTTTATGTTTAAAATGTACATACAGCCTCTGAGAGCTTAATCCGGGTCCCACAAAAAAAAAACAAACAAGAAGTGACATGAATCAGGTCCTTACTCCACAGAACAGATCACACCCCCCACACACCCCATCGCCTCCCACTTCCATCTGTCTAGAATTAAGTATTTAATCTGTTTCATTGTTTACCTGATATGCGCACTGACTGGGGAACAGAGAGGTTAGTGCTACCGGCCAGCCGAAAGGTCTGCGGTCTACACGGGGTCCTCTGACGACATTTCTGATGCTAGCTTGGAGTCAGAGTAGGGACACAGTATTCGGGTCCACCGCAATCCCTCCTAAATATAGGGCTGGGTTTCTTTGTTAGCGTCACAGCCGAGGAGACTGCAGAGCGAGGAACGAGGACAACGAAGGCCAGCGTGGATGCAAAGCCCTCAGTTAGTCATGGACATCGCCACGGTGTTTGTAACAGGATACCGGCGGCCTTGTGTCGCTGCCGAAAGGCTGCTGAAACTTAACACCTTTCAAGCGTTTTCTGGGTCGGTTGTTTCCTGGTACGATATCAAATATCTGTGGGCAAAGATCAACCCTTCAATGCTTTCCAGGACAAACAAACTTTCGTGTCACTGTTCTCTCCCCCCCCCGTGACTAATGGTGGATTCTTCTCCCCTCATGTTAGATGCCATGTTCAGACCGCACCATGGAATAATTGCAGGGATGGTGCAAAAATCTCAGGACACTCTGGCATCTTGATTTTCTTCTTTTGATGAAACCATTTTATTGCATAAGTCAGGTTGCCTTATTTGCGTTCTGTTTTGAGAATGCGTTTGTCTGATTTGCTCTGTTATGTAAGATAGTATCTGTTCGGTTATATAAGACTCATGTGCACATTTGTATTGGCATTTATGTGTGGGGGAGTAAACCAGAAGTGGTTCCAAGTAAAATGAAGAAAAAATAAAAACTGCATCATTATTGATATATACTTGGCTTGTTTTCACATTAAAATGTTTAATATTGAAGGATTTACATATTAAGGCCTTAAGTAACTTCTAATTAAAGAGATTTCTGCATTTTAACACTATTTCTTGGCTACTTTTATGCTTAGATTTATGGCTGTTGGCCAGGCTTGTGGTGTGACAGTATCAGGATTTTTTTTATTTTTTATTTTTTTTGAGGGGGGGGGGTGGTTAAGGTACTGTGAAACATACATTTGCATCTTCCAATGTCAGGAAAAGCTGCATCGTGCCCTAAGGGGGACAAGGGTTCTGAAACACCCATGAACTGTACAGATAAGTGGATATGAAAAATGGCTTTAATATAACCTCCTGAGGTGCTGCTAGCAAACAGCGGGAATCATTGGCTTTCGTTAGCCAGTTGTTGAAATCGGAGGTGTTTAAAATGTGGGGATTGAGGTGTTTATTGGCACCATGTCACAGAGCTCCTGGTGGTTGTATCCCTCCGCCAAAATTTAGAGCCGTGTCCCCTTTAGCATTGTGGTCATCTGAAAGCTAATTTTCGCTTATGTAACATCTATTTCCACGGTCTGCTTTTCCCTTCAGTTGGTGACAA